AAATAAATAAATAAATAAATTACATTAAAAAAAATGAATGAAAAGAGTGGGCGGTGTTGCTCAGTGGTACATTATTTGCCTCATAGGCATGGGTCCTTGGGTTCAGTACCAAAAAAAAGGGAGAAATCCAGGCCCTTTTTGTTGCTGTTTTTGTTTTTGTTCTTTGAGACAGGATCTCACTGTGTAGCCCAGGCTGGCCTCAAACTTGTGATCCTCCTGTGTCAGCCTCCAGAGTCCTGGGATTATACATGTGCACCACCACACCCAGCAAACTAAATTATTATTTTTAAAAGTGATAAAGGACTGAGCATTGGGGCCAGGGAGATGGCTCAGTAGAATAAGCACTTGCCTGGCAAGTGCAAAGGCCTGAGTTCAATCCCCGGTTCCGGGGTTGGGGGGAAGGAATGAGCATTGACTCTGCTAAGCCATCTATACTATATGAAAATTAGAATGGACAAGGGCATTGTGATACTACATGCTGTAGCTAGCAGACAGGAGGAATGGTGGAACTGGGACATCACACGCCATAGGCCATAAGTCTAGGACAGTGAACAGCATGGGCTGTAAGGAGCACATAGCTCCTCTGAAGTACTCCTGACAAAAGCCACGTAGATAAAGCACTGAAGGTGACTGATGGGCTCTACCAGGGTCACTGGGGCTGGCAGGGCCCACCTTCTTCATGAGCATGTAGATGTGTAGCTGTGCGTCATCTAACACATAGCGGTGGGGCCGGCACAACCCCTCCAACGTCCGCTCCATTGTCCTACTGTCAATGTTGACCCAGCGGGCAGCACCAGGGGCCAGGAACTGCCTGGGGGTGGGAACAGCACAAGATGGGTCCAGGCTAGCAGGCCAGTCCAGTGGTTGCCCAGTGCCCACCCACCACTTACTGGTACACAGCATCCACTAGGTCAGGGATCTGAGCCTGCCCTCCAAAGCGCAGCTCCTCACATGCCTCCCAGAAGCTGAGATTTTCCGCTGGGGAGCAGCACCAAGTTAGCAATCCATTCTGAGGAGCAGCCAGCTGGCTGTCCCGACAGACTGGAACAGGACAGATCCCGAGTGAGACCAAGTGGTCCAGGGCAGTGCCAGGAACCTGGCACAGGACTTGGGCCTCTCACCACTGAACTCCTTCTGCAGGAAGTCCATGAAGTAGGCCCGGCCCACAGGGTCATCCAGAAGCTCCCGGAAGCTGAAGGCCCATCGCTCCACACGGAGTTTTGTGGGTACAGCCACCCTGGAGGAACAATGGGGAACTTGGGATGCTGGCTCTGCTGCCAGCCCTAGATCAGAAGCATACCTCAGTCCCCTGGCACCCCAGGCTCACATGGGTGCATTCATGGCCCAGTAAGTGTCATCATCTGTGATCCAGGGGTTGCTGGGCAGGCACCCCGACATGATGGGGTCATGCAGGCTATGCTGGCTACTGAACTTCAGATACCTGGAAGCCAGGCCAAAGCAGAGAGAGGCCTCAGGGATGAGGAGGCTCCATAATGCGTCTCTGGGCTTGGAGTCTCCTGCCACCCACCCACCCGAACTCACGCCTCAAGGCAGATGGAGGATTTTACCCGGGTCCTGCCCAGTGCCTTCCTGGAGAGCTCAATCTGGGGAGCCAGAGCTGTGAGTGGGGAAGGGGCCTGGAACAGGTGGCCCAACCCCCATCCCGGGAACCTACCTCCCGCTTATAGAAGTCCGAGCTCTGGATCTGGAAGGGAATAGATACAGTTACAAGTCAGGCTTCCTTCAGGGATCCAGCACTAATTCTTGTAGCCCCTTCCTCCTAACCCTAACTTGGGGCTTCAGTCTGGAGATTTTTAGGAAGTTCATATTCAGATTACCTTGACATTCCCCAATTATGATTAATCAATCATATTTTCAGATATATTACCTATGTATTTATTTGTGTACTTGGGATTTTTTTATTTTATTTTGTGATACTGGAGATTGAACTCAGGCCCTTGCGCTTGCTTGCCAAGGAAGCGCTTATTCCACTGAGCCATCTCCCCAGCTCCACTTTCTCTTTTTAAAACAACATACATTAACAGAAATCCTACTAATAAGATCACACAGGGGAATCCTGGTTTAACTCAGAACCCCTGAGCCCTTCCAGGTGCGCCTCATGGCTGGGCTGCAGGAGGCAAGCCCAGGACTTGCTGACTCAGGCTTCTGGTCTTCCATCACCAACACTGGACAAGGCACTGGAGGTGGAGGATACTTCTGATTTCTAATTTCTGTCCCAGTTCTCTTTGACTGCCTCATATATGCAAAGGTTAGGATGCTAAATTTATCAAGAAGTGAGATACAACATCTGAATCTGTTCACACCTATCTGTCCTGCTCCTGTGCTCCCTGGCTGGGAGGCCACCACGGAGAAGTGGTTGCAGTTCAGATCCCCCAGCATAGCCCTGCCTATCACCCCTCTACCTTCTTGTGTATCCTGATGCTGTCCTGGCTTAGGGAAAGAGCCCACTACCCTCTCCCAGGGCCATTCTACTTACATGCACACAAGGCAGTGGGAGGTAGGAAGAAAAAGGAAGAGAGTTAGCAGGAGGCCTGGGGTAGGGGCAGTGGGGCCCAAGATCAGAAGCTTAGTGGGGATTCTGGCATGGCAACATCAGATCCATTTGGGTGGAATGGACAGACAGGTGGATGGCAGTCCAGGAAGTCCCATGGTGGTTGGAGTGGGTGAGAGCAGATGTGTGGGCAAGCTGGGGGTGGGCACAGGCTGGAGTGATGCAGGCACTCACCATCTGCACCCGGCTGACAGTGCAGGAGCCCCGCTGTGGACCCTGCTCCAACACATTAGGAGCCCCAGGCTACAGATCAAGAACAGGTGAGGGGCACTAAGTTTCTACCTTCAGGGACCCAATACTGAACCTCTGCTGTTTTATGGGACACTGAGCTTCCAAGAAACTCAGTTCTGGCCCCTGTGAGCCCCTCTGCTCACTCTCCACCAAATAGTGCCCCCAGGCAGTAGGGGCACCTCAAGCCCCTAGTCCCAGGCAACACCCCTGAAGACTGAGCCCAGCCCCCACTTGTCTCCTCTGAGGGCCCTCAGTGGCAAAACAGGCTCCCTATTCCTCTCGGATCCAGAAAGGCAGCTGACTAGTCCTGTTGTCTGGGGGGTGTAGGCAGCCTCATGAGTTCTCAACTGTCATTAAGACCTTCTATCACACACCAGGGCCCTCAATGGCATGGCCTTTCTCCAGGCTTAAATGAAAAGTTCTGAGAGCTTTTCAGCAAAACTTGCAGACCCCTATGGCTAGCCAGGGAACCTCTCCCCCATGCCCCAGGGGGCTCACCGGAGGCCTGTTCACCAGCCAGTATGTCTGTTCCTGGCATGCAGTGACCAGCCTGTCTCCTTTCCTGCGTTGCTTAGCCGCCCTGCAAAAGTAGTCAGGGGTTGGGGACAGGAAGCTCACCACAGCACCTTTTCTGGCTCAAGTCAGGGCTGGAATGAGCCCAGATGTGCTGTCCACAGCCCTAGACCAGTAGGTGCCAGGATCCTTCCAGAGTTTCCTGGCTTAGTGCAGAGAGAGGGCTCACCGCAGCTGCTCTCGGGCCTGCATCACCACCAGGTCCCATGTGTGGTTGATCTTCTTGTGCAGCTGGTCATAGTGCTCCTGATGACATGAAGTCTCCATGGGTGGTCCCTTCAGGTGCCCAGTTCTGCGACAAGGACCCCTACCTCCCCAGTGAATGTGTGGATTACATGCTCAGGGAACATGGTGGGGCTCTAGGTTTCTCTGGCCACAAGACCTTCTGGGGGTCCTACCTTCTCATGCTCCACCAGTGCCCCCTGCTTTCGGATGTTCTTCTTGGTCAGGTAAATGGCTGGAGGGGCAGAGATAACAAACTGCAGAGTGGTAAGCTTTACCCCTACCCAAGGGTTACTACCCTAAGACCATCAGACCTGGGATCTTGTGGCAGGATAATCCAACACCCCACTCACCATAGTCCAGCTCTGCAGCTGGCCACAGGGTGCTGGTCCAGAAATATGGTGTCTGGTGTGGTACAGGGAGAAGACTGTCTGGGTCCTCCTATTCTTTCCCTACCCCAGGTACCACCCTCCACAGAGCACCCTCCAAGAAGACTAGAATGGCAGGGTTGTCAGCCTCCCTCAGCTGGCTAACCACTGCCCATTCTTTCCACCTGAAACTGAGATCAGTTCATACTCTTTGGGCCCTTACGCTGCCTCCCCTCAGGATGGGATGAGATAGGGGTCTGGTCAAGCCTAGGATGTAGTCATAGCTGGAGCTGGGGGTGCCCTGGGCCTCTGATGTGGTCAGGAAGGGCAGGAGTGTGTGTGTGGGGGAGGTGTGTGTGGAGGTGTCCAGATTGTGGTGCCAGGATCCTCTCTCATGTGCAGCACTGACAGCCTCTTCTTTATGGATGAGGCCTTGAGGAGCACCAGTAGGCCCCAGCATCCTCCTAGTAGACATTACCCTTAATGGAGTTCTAGTATGGCCCCAGAAAATTGAAGAGACTTCCCCCAAAATTAGTCCTTCCAGTCTAGGTCTTATGGGGAGGGGGCAATGGAAGGAATCCAAGTCCATCCACCCAGAAAGCTCTGCCCATATGAGTCCCAGTAGCTGCTTGGGGGGAGGGGGTCCCTGCCTGCTCCCCACAGAGCCTGACCTGGAACCTGTAGGGCGTTTCATCGGGCCTGAGCGCCAGACTGTAGGGCTCTTGCAACGGGTATATGTAGCCGTGCTGCGCCAGGAGGTCACCCAGATGCAGGGCCTCTGCGGGCGGGGGAGGTGAGTGCTTGGCAGGGTCAACCCCCCCCCCACTGCCCCTGCCCCCAACTCCCGGGGCAGCTGCCCTCACCCTCCTCTGAGATGCAGAACTTCTGAGCCAGCCACTCTACGATGTCGCTGCCTGTTCGGGAAAGGTCGTGTTCAGGTCGTGTTCGGTGGGCAGAGGCCCCACCCTACTCCACCCACGCCCCAGCCAAGTGTGCCTCACCGGTCACCGCGTGGGGAATGACGGTGATAAGCAGTCGCTGACTCCTCATTCGCACGCCCTGGTCCGGGTCCTGCATGCTCACGACCACCCGCTCCATCTGGACAGAGGGAGCCGTCAGGAGCTGTTGAGCCAGCGCCTGAGACCTGGTTTCTCGACATCCGTGGGGGCCAGGGGGCGGGAGGGGCCGCGTAGGCGCTGGAACAGTCTCCGGGGCAGTCCCCAAGGTCACGGCTCTCCTCCCCCAGGCCCCTTCGACCCCTGCCCACCTTGCTGAGGTGCGGGCTCTGCGCTCGCAGGCGCCCTCCAGGGGTCCCGGGACCCGCGATCGCGGCCATGGCGCCGATGTCCGAGCTGCCCCGCCCCGCGCCCGGCGCCCTGCCCCGCCCCGCTGCAAGTTAACCCTCCTGGCCGCGGCGGAGCCAGCCACGAGACCGGCCCCCGTGAGATTGATTCAGGCTGCAGAGACAAGCAAAATCCGGCCTCGACGAAGTGGGGCGTGAAGGAATAATTCCGGGACAGTGGGCTCCCACTGGGAGATGCCCTGGCAGGGCCGGCTCCAAAGGCGTCTTCCTGGGCAGTAGGGTTCAGGGCCCAGGGCAGCAGTGTGTGTGGGTTGCAGGACCAGGAAGGGTGTCCATGTTTGGAGTTGTGGGGTTCCACGAATGTGTACTGTGAATATACGGAGCCAGGAATGGCCTGGGCATGCCACAGTCTGGTATGATGCTGACCAGTACCTGCTCCTCCAGTGCTAAGCAAGTGTGTTGGGCGATTCTACAGGCACTCAAAGCTGTGTCAGCCTTGTCTGGTCTGATTTGCCTGGCGTGTGACATTGGGTGACCTGGGGTATCCTTCATCTCCTGCTGTGGGTCCCTGCAGTGGATCAGATCCCTTCCATTGCACAGGACCTGGTGGGTCAGTCAGAGAACAGAAATCCTGGCCAGGGTGCCCAAAGGCTGAGGGCGGGGCTTTTATCTCAATTCTTCCCACCCAGATTGGACCCCAGCCCTGGGATCAGGGACCCCATTCCAGGCTCTTTCACTCCCTCTTCCAACAGCTTGCCCCACTCCATAGACCCCTGAGCAGTGTGCCAGACCCTTCAGGAGCCACTGGACAGGGTCACTGAACCACTTATAAAAGGTATGAATAGGTCTTTTCTCCTCCTTTCCCTTTCAGGGGTGCTGGGCACCAAGCAGAGGGGGTTGGTCTCAGGCCAGAAGCGGGCTGTTCTCCATTACTGCTGCTGGCCAGGTCCAGGATGAGCTGGTACAGTAAGGTTGGGAGCTGGAAGGGACTTCTGGCTGAGGTGGGGTCACATCACCCCTAGTTCCCAGGTCACCCAAGGCCTCACATAGGTAGCATTAGATTGTCCCTAGGAAGCTGGGTTCCCTGTCTGTATGAGTGGCAACAGTGGCCACTGTAACATCTCTACTCCCTATAGGGAGAGACCCTGCGCTACCTGCAGGACCCTACGGAGAAAAGACAGTGGGCAGGTAAGGCTCCTATGTCAAGTGCCCTAGGACACCAGAACCAGTCCTAGTGCCCTGCTCAGACATCAGGACAAGAATGTGTCTGACTCCTGGGTGGCCCCAGAAACGGGAGTGGGAACAGGAGCATTTAAAAAGGAAGGGGGTTCAAGCTGCTCTGAGGACCCCTCCTTTACTCAGACCCAGGCGTTTGGTCCAGCTGTTCACAGCCAAGGGCATTGCTCAACCCTGTCTACTGTCTTAGCGACACCCTCTTCCATCCACCCATCCCCAAGTCTCAGTGTGTGTTTAAAGCAAGAAGCCTCCCTGCTTGTTTTCTTCTCTCAGTGTCCTTCTCTCCCCAAGGGCGGGGGCCTTGGGAATTGTCTGGGTTTCTGGCCTCTGCAGACACCACTCCCACCCCCGGGCCATTAAGTAAGCGTTGAGGGATCCTTGTGTGTTTGTGCTGGTGAGCCCTCAGCCCACTGTGTTTCCTCAATGCTGATGACGGAACCCCGCCCAAGGCTAGCTGTCCCCAGGAGTCCCCTCTGCCCGGGCAGCCTGGGCGAGGCAGAGGGCTGCTGGAGCTCAGGTGTGGCCTGCGCTGTCGGCTAATAACGAGAGCCCGGGGACAAGGGGAGAGAGCCGCACCTGCTCCACTTGGCGCCAAGGTCCCACCGCCCCTCCGGGAGGCCTCCGGGGACCCAGCTAGCCCCGCGGGGCGGGGCGGGGCGGGGCGGGGCGG